GACCGCGAGGCATAGGCGGTGGCCCACGTCGTCCATGCCTTACGCCGCCCTTGGTCATAGAAATGATGTAATTTGAATATAAATTATTTATAAATACGTATGTCAAGTTATATTTTTATTACTACGTAAAATATATTTAAGAGTTTACGGCCACTGTACCGGGTGTTATGCATTCCAAAAAATGTTATGCATTCCATCACGTACATAAACAGTGTCGTAATTCGCCAAGTGCAAATCAGCAAATTCGTAAAATTTTTGTTTATTTTGAACAATCCGGATAATGGAGGTCCGGATAATGGAGGTTCTACTGTATTTCAAAAATTACAATATGTGTGATATTTGTGACGTTGATCAAATCTGTTGATCATTCTGATGTGATTTCTTTAGTGAATTTAGGAAAAAGTGTGAATATAAACTTACACTTTTTTCCCACATTCACTAAAGAAATCACATCAGAATACTTCTCTACACTTCAGCATATGTAATTTATACTAAATTGCTTTTTGTGAGTTTCCCTAGGTGAAGTCCTTGCTTTAATTACCTTGAAGTGAATATACACCAACACATTTAGGCTAATATGTAATTATAAATATCTAACGAAGCATATTTGCATAAAAAGCATTTTGAAATTTCAGTTTTGCATAGTGTAATTTTAGAAAATAATTTAAAAGAAATTAGCATTTAAATCTGAAATGATACTCTTGTTAATTTCGTCTTTAAGAATGGATCTGAGTGTCTGAAATATCTTATGTAACTTTGTTTTAAGAATAAATAAAATGATATTTAATCATAATTAAAATGATTAAAAATATATAAATGTACAGTATTAACGTTCTGTGATAAAAATTTTGAAATATAATTTTCAAATTCATATTTACAGTTTAGATCTATGGATATATAAGTTTATAATTAATAATAGTTAATAAAATTTCATACTTATAAAATTATTTAACTTACTTGTAGAAAATATACATCGGTTGTCAAAAACTTTGTATCCATATTTGCAGTTACATTTATTTAAAACACATTCCGTATTAAGTGTTTGACATTGTTTAGAGTTGCTACAAACTTCACCTAGGGAAACTAACAAAAAACAAATTAGTATAATTTAATACAAAGATTATTTATTCAATTATTTTAATTTTTGTTTTCTGATAATTATTACTTAAGTTTTTAAGAAGTAAAATAATTCGTTTTGCAATCTTACATAAGATTAAAATACATTATGAATACTGTAATATCATTCTATTGGAGAATAACGAGATCAAAAAAATATTTTAAATATAATTTCCTGCGAATAGTCTGCGAGTACAGTTGTCCCTTGATAATCCGACAGGTATGGGACCAAAGGTGTATCAGATTACCAAAAGTGTCCGGATTACCGAAAATAATTACATATTTCGCATTGTTTTGCTAGCAGTAACTTACAATATTCTCTACTCCAACTGTTCGAACAGAACTGCTCACATAAAACACACGAAATGTGTGTCANGTAACCACAAACAATCACCATCGCAACGAGTTTCACCTGTAATACATATAAATTCAAAAACATCCGTGTATATCAATGATAATTGATATTTGTTTTTGTTAGAAAAGAGATGGAATTGAAACAGCAGAAGAATCATGTCAAAAGAAGTCACGGGATCGCAGAAAGCATTGGAAGCTTCTTATGAATGGATTCTTATAGTGGCTATAAAAATAATAGTTTCACAGACAATCGATAACTTGGCTATGGATGAAAACGCTGTTAATTCAACAAGTAAAAGAGTGTCAAATATTTGCATTGCAACTCGATATTTCATCACTGATTCAGCTTATTTGTTACTTGACATATGCCAGGAAAGGAAATAGAAGAGAAGACTTACTGTTTTGTAAAACGATCCCAACGACTTCAGGTGAAGACATTTATCTGCGCTGAAGACGTGACTTGGAATAATTGTATAGGTTTATGCAACGACGGTGCTGCAGCTTTGACTGGGTAAAGGCTTGAAAAAACTGTTCTAATCTAAATGACAGTCAACGAATGGCTGAATGACTTGTCATTAGAGTAACTATGTCAGATTTCGTATTAGCAGGATGGTGCGCACTCCAGGTCATTCTCGGGCAGACGTGCAACAGTGCGAACTATGCGCGGTTCGACAACCGATGGATACTACAATACGGTCCTATTTTATGGCTATCTCGTACCCCGGGCTTGATAACGTTGAATTTTTTCCTGTGGGCATTAGTTTACGACGCGTACCTACAGTCGACATTATGTTGGAAAGCTACAGAGGCGAGTACGAAACGCTTTCACCAGGTATACTACGTGCATAAAGCGACTCTCAACCGTCTATACCAGAGTTGCCGAACATTTTTGAGTCTGCGTGCCATACAGTCTGCATAATTATCTTCAAAAATTCAAAAATATTTATGTGTACCGAAGTGTTGAACTTCAAATAAAAATATTTTAAAAAAATGAAATGAACATGCTAATTGAAATAAGTGTAAAGATTAATAATAATAAACGGCGCTTTTAGCCCACGACTTTAATTTAGATAGAGTTAGATCAGTGTTTTTCAACTTGTGGATCGCGACACCTAGGGGGTCGCAAAGCCATACACGGGGGTCGCAAGTGTAAGAAAAGACAAGTGTNTTTGATTTATTTTTATAAAAAATTATAGCTCGTTTTTAGTGATGACGAGCCAAACATTGTTTAATTTATGTATCACTTAAAAAAATTTTAATGAAGATATTTATGTTAATTATGAAAATATACTAGCATATTTTTTAATTTTTGGAACCTAACCCTCCTTTTCGTATTAGTTCTTTGTTTCGTATAACACGGATTCGCATAACACGGCTAGTTTTTGGAACGTAACTACCGTGTTATACGGGGGTTACCTGTATTATATAAGTTACTACATTGAAAATTGAATGCATGAAACTTTTAATTTGACTAAATCGATGATCTAAGCAACAAATAATTTTTTGTAGTTTTGTTGCATATTCAGTTTCATTTAAATTTTATTAGAAAATTAATTAATATTTTCAAATAAATAATAATTTTCTTTGTTTACAATTCTTTATTAAATTACTACCGTAACATTTATTATTTACGACGTTAAACACACGGCGTTATTCGGAAAAGTTTATTTTATCATAAAAGCAATAATTTTGAAGTATTGATAACACTATAAAGTAAAACATCGTGTAAAAATATTCAAGGAAATAATTCATTACCCAAGAAAATTAAAAAGTAAGATGAATTAATAAAATCATTACTTGAATAGGAATAATGTCAGAAAGCAAACCATTTTATTTTTGGAAACGAGCTATACATGAAATATATCGTTGAAATATTTGTTATTAAATAAAGTTTCTACATTGAAGATGAACGAACCCTCATATTACGTATCGCTACTGAATAACTGGGACATGGTTGATCTGAGGAAACTTGGTAATGCAATATATTGTTCTGAAAATATAAAAAATAAAAATAAAAACATGATTTCTATTTTACACAAATATAAAATAAAGCAAATATTATAATTTTTAGTTTAATTCAGTTTTAATTAAAATATAAAAATTTATTCAGAAAATGACTAATAAATAACATAATCCAAATTACTTTCTAAAGTTATAAATATTGAAGTAATTATATTAAACGCAATGAATTAGTTTTAAAACTTCTGAAATAAAATATTTCTTTATTGTAACGAAATTTTTATTATAAAAATATTTTAAAATGTTTAGGAAATAATGAAATAGCGTGACATAAGATAGATTTATTCTGGCAATCTTTAACAAACAAAATCTTTTAATAATTATATTTTTTAATAAACAATTAATTAAATATTTATTTTAAAACTCCAGCAACGAGTTGCATAGATTTTTAAAAGTTTTTACTTAAAAAATAACTTTTATATTATTAATCGCAATAAATAAAATTGCGTATAGCGCCATCTGTAATGAGATTTTATTACAAAAACTTTTATACCTTTTATAAAATGACAAAAAGCTTAATATTGAAAATAGAGGTGAGTTTTATAAAAAATTATAAATGCTAATAACGTACAAGTTCAAGTTGAAGTTCAAGTTCTTTATTGCCGTACAAAGGTACAAGCCCGGTACCGCATAAGCACAACTGGTTTGAAAACGCGTACAACAGTAAAGTTACAGAGGAATAGAGTATATAATGGCTTAATCTTTGAAACAGGCATATTAATAAATGCGCTCGTCCCCAAAGGTCGGTGCTCTGATGCATGTATTAGCTCTAGAATGAATAGAGTATATAAAGTAGCATAACATGATATTCGATACAAATCAATTATATACAAGGTATGAAATTAAAGACGGGACAGTAGATACTAAGCACTATATACATATGATATACAAAGCAGTTTAATTACATACTAGATGTCGTGTAACAAATAAGAATGACTTTATATACAAGACATTGAATTGGAACACAATATACAAGACAAGTACATGTCAAAGGTCAAATACATAATGGAATTGCATAGCAATATGAATAAGTTATAAGTGGTGGTATTTATGTTGCTAGGAGGTGCTAGTTGAGACGTTGAGAGCTGCAAGTTTACAGTATTTGTTGACCAGCTGATTGAAGTAAACGTAAGTTGAATGTTCGTTGATCAACTCGTTGCAACTGCAGGGCCAGTCCTTTCCCCGAGAGTTAATTATAATCTTTAAATGCTGCCGCTCAGCATCCAGCATTGGGCAGTTGAAAATATAATGGAGTGCTCCATCCTGAGTGCCACAGAAGGAACATGTATTGTTCGAGTGGTTGGTAAATCCGTTAAGGTGATAATAACATACAGTCGACCCCCATAACACTGTTGATAATTCCGTTTTATATGAATTCCATGTTGTACGAGTCACTTAGATTTTACAAATACGTGTGCCGGGCTGTGAACGGTTCACGTACTGTATTTGTAAAATCTAAGTGACTCGTACAACATGGAATTCATATAAAACGGAATAATCAACAGTGTTATAGGGGGGACGACTGTATAAAATTTTTCATTAAGTTCCATCCATTCGAGATATGCTACAGGACTTCCTTCTATCTCCCCACCCTCTCGACCTTTAACCGCCGAAAAATTTAATCGTATCAATGTTCCTTATACATAAAATATGTCAAATTTTGTTTCCCTCTTCATTACCTTATCCTGAGATAGTAAACGAAATAGACGCCAACACAAACACACATATATAACCATGAAATTTTCCTCTTTTTTTGACTTTTTAGGATTCAAGAGATCGTGGAAATTTGCAAACAACTGTGAGGGTCAAATTTAACACAATTCCAATAATTTCCCTTGTTATATATAGACTACATAACAGCCGGAAAGAAATATATTTAATTTTTTTGTCAGTTGCTTTGATTTATTTTTATAAAAAATTATAGCTCGTTATATATAATGTTCGATGTATGTTAAAGAAATTGTATTATATATATATATTGTATAGTAATATTTATTCCTGTCTATTCCATTTGAGTATGTATCGAGGTATTGATCAAGTAGACTGATTTGAATAAGAATATTTTTTTTACTATTTTCTGATAAAGTCACTAGAAATGCTTTTTTCATTTCCCTCATAATTTCGACTCAGGCTCACGAATCCGACTCAGATCGATCTTGGATTTTCCAAAGAGATGGGTTGAGTGTTTTACTGCTTTGACCATCTGACCATTCAAAAGTCTTTATGCATAGGCAACGGGATCACTTAAATAGAATATGATCTACGTCAATGTCATTTTATTGAATGCATCCAGAAATGCATTTCTCCCATTGAAGATGCAAGTTAATGTGTCTGATAGTATGTATGTACTTTACGTATTTATTTTGTATAAAAATTTTGGAATTAAGTTGTATAATAAAAGAAAAAGACACTTACCATACTTTTAGACAATGTCATGATTTCTTCATATGAAGGGGGTTTGTCTAATATCTCAAGAGTTGTTTCTATTGTGGGATTACTGTAATCGAAACCAGTAATTTCAGGATAAACAGATATTCCTCTTGTATTGAATTCATTATTTTCAGATGGGCGATAAACTATGTTATTTTGAGCTCTTCCCGATATCATATTGGATAATTTTCTATATTGTAGTAAAGAAAACAATAGAACCATATTATTTATTTATACACTACATTATTTAACGAGCAACATTTTAGTTTTCTTACTTTTTAAAGAAAATAATAGCAACGGTTATCGCAGCACTAAGAATTACGGAAAAAATAACACAAAGAATAATTAGTAAGGTATTGCTTTTCGGATTGTCGTCTCCTAAAGATATAGTAAATTAAAACAGTCAAAATAAAAAAAATCTATATTAGAATTTATTTTTATATAGCTATTCAAATATTGTAAGCATTATATTATTATTCAATTCACAGTAAATTATAACAGATTAATTTTGAAGATAATAATTTAAATTTAAGGAGCGAAAACACAATTGAAATGAAATATTTAAAATAAATTACTTTTTAAAACTCAATTTAAAACTTAAATCACATGTTTTTTGTTGTCCTCCGAGAGGCATTCCTTTGGTAAATACTCTTGTTTTGTGTTGCTTTAGCCGGTCAAACTAAATAAAATCAAATTTCTCTAATTCCGAGACAGTAGATTACTCTAATCATGTATAATATATATACTATATTACTGTACATAACATGTCATGTGTAATTATATACAAAATGTAACGAATGGCTTTAATATATTTATTACTAATGTTATAACTTAAGTTGAAAACCTATAATTCGTCTGCGCGTAGATAACATTACATTACATTAAATTATATATGAATTAAATATGGCGATTTCGGCTTATTGTAAAGTGATTAAAGGGAAAATGACATATCACAATGATTACATTAAACAAATTCGGAGTCGTTACGTTTAGATTGATTGCAATCCTCAAAGAAAAATTGAAGTTGTTTTCTAATATACTGTATTTCAAAAATTACAATATGTGTGATATTTGTGACGTTGATCAAATCTGTTGATCATTCTGATGTGATTTCTTTAGTGAATTTAGGAAAAAGTGTGAATATAAACTTACACTTTTTTCCCACATTCACTAAAGAAATCACATCAGAATACTTCTCTACACTTCAGCATATGTAATTTATACTAAATTGCTTTTTGTGAGTTTCCCTAGGTGAAGTCCTTGCTTTAATTACCTTGAAGTTAATATACACCAACACATTTAGGCTAATATGTAATTATAAATATCTAACGAAGCATATTTGCATAAAAAGCATTTTGAAATTTCAGTTTTGCATAGTGTAATTTTAGAAAATAATTTAAAAGAAATTAGCATTTAAATCTGAAATGATACTCTTGTTAATTTCGTCTTTAAGAATGGATCTGAGTGTCTGAAATATCTTATGTAACTTTGTTTTAAGAATAAATAAAATGATATTTAATCATAATTAAAATGATTAAAAATATATAAATGTACAGTATTAACGTTCTGTGATAAAAATTTTGAAATATAATTTTCAAATTCATATTTACAGTTTAGATCTATGGATATATAAGTTTATAATTAATAATAGTTAATAAAATTTCATACTTATAAAATTATTTAACTTACTTGTAGAAAATATACATCGGTTGTCAAAAACTTTGTATCCATATTTGCAGTTACATTTATTTAAAACACATTCCGTATTAAGTGTTTGACATTGTTTAGAGTTGCTACAAACTTCACCTAGGGAAACTAACAAAAAACAAATTAGTATAATTTAATACAAAGATTATTTATTCAATTATTTTAATTTTTGTTTTCTGATAATTATTACTTAAGTTTTTAAGAAGTAAAATAATTCGTTTTGCAATCTTACATAAGATTAAAATACATTATGAATACTGTAATATCATTCTATTGGAGAATAACGAGATCAAAAAAATATTTTAAATATAATTTCCTGCGAATAGTCTGCGAGTACAGTTGTCCCTTGATAATCCGACAGGTATGGGACCAAAGGTGTATCAGATTACCAAAAGTGTCCGGATTACCGAAAATAATTACATATTTCGCATTGTTTTGCTAGCAGTAACTTACAATATTCTCTACTCCAACTGTTCGAACAGAACTGCTCACATAAAACACACGAAATGTGTGTCATCGAGTAAGAATTGGATGGGGAGATTCACATCGCGACATGCTTCTGTGCAAGCAGACACGTAA